ACTTCTCTCCAGATTGTGGTTGTGGTTGTGGTATCGTGTAGCATCAATCTGCTACGTCCTATTTATTCCTTCTCTGCGCCTGCGTTTCGTAATAAAACTGGTTATTTTAAAGCGCCTTCGCGTTGAAACTGTGTATTTTGTATACACATTAGAATTATTTTATAATATTGTATTTTTTTAATTTTATTTTTTTTATTTATTTTTTTTAAATTTAGTAATTTAGTATTGCCAGTATATATTATTATACAGGATGTTTGTGGTGGTACAACTGGGAAGTGAGCCTATTATTTCTACTCATTTATGTGTTTATTATTGTATTAGGTAATTGAAAGCACACAATAAACCATAGAATATTCACAGATGACAAATTTTATTACTTCCTAAATTGTTGAAAATATTGCCCATTTTATTTAATATACAACAGATTTTGTTTTTTTGAAGTAAATCTATAAATGCTCTTAACGTGTTTTGATGCTTTAATTTATCAATTCAATCAGTTCTCTCCTTCTCTCCCAACCAACAAATATTTAAAGCCAATATTTTTGAAAATCTGGCTTCATATAAAAAGATTTTATTTTTTTGCCTATTTTTTCATATAAAATCGTCTCTTTCCTGGTACTATCAATTCGCAAATACCTATAATAAATCAAAATATATACTGCAAAAACAAGCGTATATGAAAAGTGGCTTCAATATTGTAATATTGTGTGTGTGTTTAGTTTTCTATATAAAAATAACATATTACTCTGCATATAATATGAGTATAATAAGCAATACAATATGTTATTTTTACATAACTAAACTAATTACACACACACATACATTCAAAACACTTTTTACTTGCTTTTCCAGTATAAACATATTACACATATATTGGAATTTTAAGAAGAACAATATAAACACAAGAAGTAATATAAACCAACTTTCCAAAAATTACATGGTAAAAAGACAGTCGGAATCTCACACTTCAAATTATTTGATAACCTTTCCTTTGTGCACTTTCAAATAACAGCGCAATATACAACTCAATGAATTTACTCATCATATACAGACATACAACGTATGGTACAGATATATGACACTGGACACAAATGTATGGAATTGCAGTTTACGTAAAACTATCATTCAGCTTCTTACATCGTCCCATAAGCTACAAATTTACGATTTTATGATTTATTCATATACATTTATTTAGAAATGTAACATAAAATCGCGATATCAAGTAGTTGGAAACGTTGTACTCAGACTAGAATGAAGTAAACACAAATAATAGAACTAAATCACTCCAAGAAGAAAAAAATTTTTCACTAAAAAGAAAGAGCTTTTCTTCAGAATTATAGTTACTAGAGCAGTTTTTTACGATCTACGGAGACATGGTCATTGCTACCACGTTTATCTCTCTCGATCGTAAACCTATAAAAAGCAGGTGTAATGCAATTTTTATCGGCGATAAAATACACTGCGAATGTTATCCACTACCGCAAAAAAGCGCGTTCTCTTTTTCTCTAATGTGTATACTCAATTCGTAAATATATGTATAACTGTTACTATAAATTATTAATTACATAATTATAATTAGCGTATACATTTAATTCTTTGAATGTATGTAACTGTCACTATAAATTATTAATAATAATAAATGTCATTATAAATTATTAATTAATAATATTAATAAACATCAATAAACAAAAAATCATATTTGCGTTTATTTTAAACTCTACAAAAAACTATAGTTAAAGGCTTCATTTTCTCTTTAAAATATTACGACGTATTTAAAAAATCTTTTTATATCGTGGAAACATGTTTTTAATGTACATGTTTTAATATGGTTATAAAAAAAAAAGCATAATTTTATGATTTCTGTCGCGATATGATAAATTGACATGATGGTTTTACTGAAAGCGAGAATCTGTCTCGAGTCATAAAGAGGACTGTGTGAGAGAAAGGAGAGTGAACGCCACACATATAGTCGCCGATGCGATCGGGCGAAAGACGATAGAACCAAAAAAGTCATTTCAAACGCAACGGACACACCTACGTAATCAAGCGGCGCGCTTAGGACCGCGCCATTCGGCAACAAACACGCAGCGAGAGGCAAAGTTACCCCCGACTAAATTGGGTTAGTTGAAATCCGTTTACGCTAACTCTAATGGCAAAAGCGTGAGCCGCATGCGGCATCGACACCAAACTTCTGTTGAGTCGGTCGTCCGCGCGAGGGTGAATTCGACGAGTGTGCGCGAGGTCTTTATTCTCCCGACTAGCATTTTGAACGTCAAATATATTGATACCGAGAGCTTATCTCGGTCCGCTTTCTGCTTTCATTTATTTTGCGCATCGTACGTTATAACGTAGATTATTGTAACACAGAGAGAATCTAGTAGATCAACGTTAAATAAAAAAATGTTTAATTGATGATTTAACTGATTATTATTAATAATGGATTAAATGTAGATAATTTGCATTAATTTGAGTACAGTGTACGGATAATTCAACCTGCACAATCAAAACCTTGCGTTTCGCATCATTTGATATTTACATATACCGTGCAGCATGTAACGGTATGTTGTAAGGTTCATCGATAGATATTATTAGTGTAATGGAATTAATACCTATGATCAATAATAATCATAGAATTTACAAAATACTTATGGCAGTTAAATAAATGATATCACGACAAAAGAGATTATCACATAGGTAATAAATAATTTCACGTATATTAAAACGTATTTATCAGTAATGAGAAAAATGTAAACAAATTGCTAATTAAATATGTAATATTAAACCTTAGTATATCCAATGATTTTCCGACCCTTTATTATATATAATTATTGCTTATTTTCTGAGTTAATCTTTATCACAATTATTATTTTTACGCGCATATAAATCTAAAAATAATTTTAGATCATCAAAATTTTTAAACAGAATATTCAAACTGATTGCTAGAATTAAAATTTTAATTCTAACATTCTAACAATCAGTTGAGTATCCTACTTAAAAATTTTAATAGTCTAACAAAATTATTTTTAAATCTGTATCTTATAGCTAAATTTTTTCCATATAGATATGATGCATTCAGATACCAAGAAAAAAAATATATATAATATATTAAACGTAAAATATAAAATTGTTGAGCTCGCAAGCTCACGAACTCCACGTTAGCTATTTCACGGTGGAAATTATAACGCTATTGTGTCTCTCGTCGCTATTTTATGATATTTCGCGTAGTTTGCTCCACGCGGAATGTTGAGATTGAGAGAGTTTGCTTGCTGCGAAAGCGCTTGATTCAACTACATTTTTCTCGTAACACAGTTTTAAGTACGAACTCGATCTGTCGCGTTAGCGTGATCGAAGTTACGGGAACGGGACTGTCGCGCAACACAATGCGGCACGTCGAGGTAGAGTCGGACGCGGAGACATTATCGTGGCAGAACCAAAAACTCCAGAATCGCTTCAGAAATAAAGGGACTCTCTCGTTCCCTTGGTATCTCCGGCAGCAGCGTAATGGAGGTCGTATCTACTAGGGAGGTCGAACTCTCTTTTTTCCATCTATCCTTCCGGAAAATGCACCTCTGAGAATGGAGTCGCGGGCCCCCGGTGATTTCACTCCAGAGACCATAGACCCTTTTCTCGCCCTTTTCGAGGTCTGGAACAAATAAAACTAAACCGTGCCATGTTTCAACACTGTTGATATGCATTTACAAATTATACTAAATACTAATAGATTATATTAAACAGATTATAAATATTAAATAATAGCAGATTATATTAAAAAAAAAAGCAATGCCCTTCAAATCGTAATTTCTTCTTTAGAAAGTTGTTATTACATATAATACATAAGTAGTGCTATCATGTATTTTTAATCACTTCTTTTTAATCTGACTATATTGCTTGGAATGTATAATATTTTTTACACATACATATTTAAAAGGTTTAATTTACAATTAGATTAGAAAATCATCTTTTAAGAATAAAATTATTATAAATTAAACATAAGATAAGATTAAAATAATCTTTTAACTATTTTTTTTTAGGCGTTATAAATAGATACTTGTTTTCTTTCGAAATGCAGAAAGGTAAACCAGCGATTAGAAACAATATATGTAGATATATTAAAATTTTTATTTAGCTATAATAATAAATTCTAACCAATCTCGCATTTCTAACGGTACAAGTTTGTATTTCTTGTTTTAGACGAAATTCATAAATCGTAACCTACTGGTTGTTACTTTCAACAAACGATCCCATATAAAACCGTGCTAGCCATTTAAGCAATTAATTTACCAGCGAAAAAGCATGGCCTCCCCAACAGATTGCATTTTGCTGGTCTGTTCAGGTTCTGATTTTATGAGGTCAGTTATTTTACGCCTGCATTGTTTCCCAGTAGATGTTCATTTGACCAGAAAGCTATATCAATGAACAAATATGAGTAATGTTGCAATAATTTGTAGGTATAATTGTATAACGACGAAAAATTATAAAAATTTTATTTCTCTGTATGCGCAATTGTGAACATTTGAAAATTAAAAAGTAATTAAAGTGGTATTTTATTATCATATTGAATAATAGAAAATTCGCGTAATATATTTGATAATATTTAAATTTAATATATAATATAATATATATATATAATATCACTAGGGTACATATGTACAGGGGCTGCAAATAGTAGGAGGTGCTCTTATATTGCAATATCGTTCTCTGTTTTGTTCCTTTAAGACTTAACGTACACAGGTAGAACGTAGACTCACACGGGACACAACAGGATTTTACTTATCAAATTTGATTCATCATTTTTTCTGTATTCTAATATTTTTAATTAGAATAAATATCATCGTGCAATTTCATAGTTTTGCTCAATATTATTTGCTTTGATGTTGTATTACAAGTTTCTTGTTTTTTATTTTTTAGGTCGAGAGAGAGAGAGCCCGCACGGAAGATGATGGTCGTCTAAAGAATCTCATCCGATGTGCAACGAGTTTCTGAAGATGTGCAGTTTGGTGTTAAAGTGTCGGTGAAATCGGAGCAACTTCGCGTATCTATGATTTTCTTTCCTTTTCTTCGTCACACTTTATCTTACGGAAAATCAGCACGAACGATGTCATAGTCATCCAAGTGCGAATTATTTTCACAATGGCACTGTTGTTCGTCATAATCGTCGTTTCAATCACCACTGCCATGTCGCTTCCGCCGGTCATTAGAATCGGTGAGTACATATTGATCCAATTTGTTAACCTTCAGTTTACTTATGCACGAGGCATAATTAATACAATTGGCTCCGTCATTTAATATACCTTCTCATGCATAATAGTATAACTTAACTGTTCAATAATTAATTGCGTGTTACTATAACTGAAAGCTACCACATTTCTTACTATATATTATTTTGCAACTTATATTAAACATTCATATAAAATATTAAATAAAATATTGTAATTGAAGGTAGATTATTATTTCTTTTTATGTAATAAACGTTTAAATAAAAATCGTAATTAAAAATTTATTTTGTTATTTTAATATGTAAAATTTATAATTAATTCAACTATTCGGATAAAAATTTTTGTTTCATTCAGGTAAAACATCCATCGTGATCAATTAAATAATATAATTAATTTTGTATTTAATTAAAAAATTTTAATCAAATACATAAATTGTATCCTCGAATATTTAGAAAAAGTTACATTTTTATGAGAAACTCTGAAGATATTACTTTCCCAATATCATACGTGTGTTAAACACATCCTCAAAATTACAAGAATTAGCAGTCGAGTTTTATTTCGCGATTCCACGTTTCAGACAACTTGCAGAACAATAATTTTGTATTCTCCCGCACATTACATTCGACGGAGTCGTCAAGAGCGGCAGTTGTAAATCGGTTCAAGGCCCCGATCTTCGGAGAGAATCGTCTTTAGCTTGTTCCGCTACGCGGACCGAAAAACTTATCCGTAACTTTCTATCGCTTGATTACACTTCGCTGTAGCGGATAGATGCACGCGCGGTTTAGAATTATAGAGTCCGCCACTAAGTGCACGCGAAGATCGAATCTTCACTCACGCACTACGTCTTCATCAGTATAGGGCTTATTAGTATTCCCAGGGCGTTCACGTGGGCGTATAACGGACGTGTCCGTGCGTGGGATGCCGAGCTTCGACTTCGGGCCGTGCGTATCGTACCATCCGTTTGGAAACACACACGCACGCATACACAGGTCCATGACGTCGAGAGTAGAACAGAACTTGAGGTTGCTTGCTCACTGGTTAAGCCTCGCGTAAAGTTTTCCGTCGATCTAATTGGTCAAATTTCTCTGTGAGGCAACCGCCTCAAGGGAAACTTGTCCGCAATTTCCTATGATGTCGGCGAGAATGAAGCGAAGGCGATAAGGCGAGCATGCTTGTCAAGATGGGACGTGAGTCTACGTATATAAGACGAATGGGAGACCAAAAGAAAGTAAGGCGTCCCCAACGTCCCCGGAGGACGAGGACTCTGGCATCTCAAACCGCGGAAACTTTTCCAGACCACGAAGAAAATATAGGGGATATGGCGTATTCATGTCTGCAACAATAATCTTTCTCATGTTTGGAAAGCAATGTAATTGAAATATCTACTACTTGCACAGTGTATTCAAAAGTGCACGTGTAATGGGAATAGGAATACGAATGGGTATGATTAATAGATGATACACGGAAAAAATGATTTTGCTGAAATATTTAAAAATTTAATTAGATATAGATTCGAAAATAATTTTAGACTATTAAAATAATTACGTAGAAAATTCAATTATATAGGAATGCATGTAGAAAAAAATTTAAATTGTCAACCTATGCTCTTGATAATCAGTTATCATGTAATTGACTACCATGAGCACAGATCGACAATTTAATTTTATTCTTAACGTGTTAATTTTATGTGTTAACTTATAATCGATCGACAGAACGATGTTTGTTACAAACTTGATTATTGTTAAGGCGCAGCAATTGTTGAGCTTAAGTTTTCATCACCACTAGCTAACTAACTAGAATAAATATGTGGCTTACCTCACAATTGTTGCTGTCGCTATGGTTGGAATAATTCTATGGATATTCCAGTTGTAATTTCTCTTGACATTCTCACTTGAAATGGTTACTGAAGATGACTCAAATCAGGAGTCGAAACATACAAGCTGCATAGTTTGATATATTAAAATAAATTCGCTAATAATTATCAGCAGCTGACTCTTATTATCTGTCATTTTTGTCATAATTTACTTTTTAATTATTTATAACTTAAGAAGTCGAATTCCAAACTTAACCATTTTGTGATAGTTTTGTATTCTTTTGAATATAAATAATATTTTTATAAAAATATTATGATTTGTTAATTTATAAAATATATTTTTTAAATTGCATATATTTACCGAAATTTTGAAGTAAGAAACAATTTTACAACTATACTAAAATTATTGATCCAATAGCTATCTAATTTCTAAAAGAGAGTTTCATAACATTATTTAGATTTAATACTTAATTTACTTGTACTCTCACATGCAATCTTATGCAGTAACTATCACAATATTGTGTAACAACCGCAAGCTATTAATAATTTGTTCGGAAAACGAGCGTTTGCTCGAGCTAAAGGAAAAACTATTACCAGCTATTACCTCGCGAAAATGAAGTTTGATGAAAATTATTGCGTAGTCAATATAGGTATGTTACGTGTAAACTTCTTCGAATTAAAAAATAAAAGAGTAAAGTAAAACACATGAACTTTAATTTTTACTATCATGATCTCTTTCAAACGTGTACGTTTTTCTTATTTCTATTCTTCTTAAATTAAATCGTAACGTAGAGAGCCATCCACTTGTCTTCTAATATTTATTGTATTATTGCTTACGAAAACTTGGAAATATGAATGTAAATATATAATTTCTAATATACGTGAGTATTCTCGGTGTATTGAGCTCGAATCCGTGGATTCGCTAAGCCCAAATGACTATACGGATCAGATCCCTGCGGGATACGCGCGAGTTTCTCGCGTTACGTATCCTTCTCGTGTATCGTATTCGATTAAAATGCAAGTCACCTAACGTCGCGCTAAAAACCAGCCGTCAAAAGCAGACGTGATCATAAATTTTATCACGTATCCATCTACATCTCGCGCGTATGATCTTCGATCCGCTCGATGCAATCTACAATATAACGTACAATCGTTACGTTGCATTTACGTTCTGTTCTTTGTCGGGATCAAAAAGAATATCCTCCGGCTTCTGGCATCAGCAGTATATGTAGTAAATAAGCATATGCAGATACACATGGCGATAAAGATCGGTGAATATTATGACTATGAGAAAGTAAAAAAGATCTACTCAATTAACCTGATCTTTATTATCTTTTAACGAAATTTTCCTTAAAGAAGACAATACGTCTGACGACGTTTGTACAACTTGCAGAAACTCTATGAAAAGTCATCCTTTGATACCGTCGTAAGTCTTGTTACACAATTCTGATTCAAAACGTGTACAACAATTCTTGAGTCAAACAATAAGCGTTACATTACTGTTTTGAATCTCTCTTTCTATTCCCTCGAGCTTGCTTTCACAGACGTTTTTATTCTCTAAATTAAAGGAGATGAAAAGGAACTCGATTCACATTTCGAACATTCAGAGTTGTGTGACAAGACTTAAAGTAATATCCAAAGATAACTTTTCATAGACTTTCTGTAAGCTGTATGAACGTTGTTATAGATAGAAGTGTATTGTCTCTAGGGAGGATTACTTTGAGGGATAATAAACGTCATTTGTATATTAATTTATAGTGTGTTTATTTTCTCATAACATTCACCGAACTTTATTGTCACACCACGTATATATAGCGAGCCCACCAGTTCTTTAACCGCTGGCCAGTGTCATAACTTTCGCAAAAAGTTTCATTGATCGCAAATTTTACTTAACACACAGGGTGTGTATAAAGCGAACAGATTAACGTAATCCTCGGTAGCATCAGGGCGGTGCGGTGAAAGGAAAAGGTTACGGGAGCGAATACTCGATAACGATCAAGATATCTTTGGCAAACATCGCACTAGAAACGATGGAACCGTAAATGCCAGCCGCTTTCGTATTCCGAGAGGCGGTAACACCGTAACATGTGATTTGAGCATGCTATGCTAACTCAACCGTTGTGAAAGATTTGCACTTTTCGACAAGTGCTTTACTTGCAAATATAATAAATTTCGTAACGTACATGAATAATTCATAATTTCAATAATTTCCGTTCCGATTCATTGTTCTTTTTTTGTAAGTAAAACTTTCTTCCTATATATATATAATTTATGCAAATTAAATAACAAATTTAAAGCTTTACACAGAAAGGTTGATTTTCCTGCAATATTAAAAAATTTAATTAGATACAGATCTAAAAGTAATTATGTAGTAATCTCAAGCATGATGTAAACAATACCTACTATAAAATAGAAACGATATGTAAAACATTTTAATATCTAGTTCAAGCGTTCTAATTATTTTGATAATCCAATAAAGTTATTTTCAGATCTGTATTTATAGTAAAATTTATAAATATTTCAGCAAAAAACTATCGCCTTTTGGTATGCGGTAACCGGCAAGATGGAGTATATCTTTGTGCTAAACGTAAACTATTTACGGTACGAGAAGAGCCTCAAAATGCCTAGTATTTTTTTTTTTAACAAGAATTCTACAAAATAATGCGCGGTAGAAACGCTTGCAATTCCACGACTACTTTTTCCTCCATTTTTATCCAAGACGTATATACAAAGCGTTCCTGAATAGTAAGTTCATGAATCTCCGCGACGCATGTTTCATAACTATACCACGTGTTTTGCCATTACGCTCGTATATTCGAAAATTATCGATGCAGAGCCACTTGACGGTACATGTGACACTTCGGAAGTATTATCATCCTTGCTTCCTCGACATGATGAAAATTTTTAAATCAAAAAAAAACCGTGCAAAGAGCGGCGCGTGCCTGTAAGTTTATAGCGAGAGGAAAAACTTACGCCTGCAAATGTGAGTATAAACGAGCTTAATAAACTTCACTTCTAGCGGGAAGCGAGCGGAAGTAAATCGCCATCGCGTTGACAGCATTAAAGATTTATAACTTGCTCGCGCGTGCAAGGAAGAATCATAATGTGCTTGGAAGCTTGCAGTCAAATATACTTGCTCACCATTGCTCGCAAACATACATTCTGATAAATTTT